TTGCGTGGGCGGGTTATTTGCGTGGGCGGGTTATATGGGTGAAAATACGGTATTTATAATGTTTTTCCCCCTCCTAGGTGCTAAAAGAAGCTTCTCAGACTAATCTCCTTGCACGGGTGTGGTGGTACAGACCCTTCCAGTACTTTGAAAAGAATGTCCAAGGCATTGTACCACGTTCCTATCATTGGCCTTTTTCCTGGCAAGCTTTGCACCTCGGCCGGTCAGCAAAATACAGCAAACTGGTGAATGATACATAACAGATAACAATAAGGAGCTGGCGAGAGAACTGTCTGAAAAGTGCTCGGAACTCCCCTAGATGTGACGCCATAGCAATTGAACTGGTCCCTTAATTCTACCTTTTAACCCTTACCTTGACTTTAATCTCTTACCTGGTAAGCACTGTGATAACTTTTTTTTTCTCCAAAGGATCTGCGATGGACAACAATAAAATTATGGTAACTCATCATGCACTGTATACATTTCTTGTTAATAGATTATGGATTTGCATTGCTCATCACCCTGTTTCTTTGTATATGATGCAGCAGCATAACAACAGACAAAAAAGCTTTTATATCATTAAGTTCTGGTCTTTCCAGTCAGATCTGGGAATGAAGCATATTATTTTCTTGGGAAAACATAATTTTCATATCTCTTGCCCCAAAGATTGGGCTGTAAGCCATTTTCTAGCAAATGTCTATATGAAGGTTTCTAAATACCTGACTTGGATAAATAAATATACAGGAATCTTTCTTATCTGTTTCACTGAAGCTACAAAATGATAGACGCGGAAAGGTTTGGTAATCATTGATTTTGTAAATCTGCAGTGACAGTGTCAAAACGGTGCAAAAAAAATAATAATAATACTATTCTGTTGTAAAGTGATTTTCTAAGTATTTCCTAACTTTATTTTTCAAAAGAATAATGCATTCAAATGAATTCTAAAAACGGTTTTTACACGACAGAGAAAAGAGTTAAACTTTAAAAAATAATGCTTCTTGGGAGAAAGATTTGTCTGTTCTTAGTGCCTTTCTTGTCTTGATAGTATGGTCAGTAGGCATTCTTTACAAACTTTTGTTTAAAATAAAAGTATTCCACAAAACCAAGGTTATACGTATTGTACACATTATCAAATTTTATATCTAAATTAAACTGGAAATCTGTTTGCAATATTCAGATGACTGAATTGGGCGGGCGGGGGTTGGGGGAATCTAATATGATAATCATGTCTTCACACTTTGTGAGCAGGTTAGAATGAAATATACTATTTAAATTATTTTATTGTCTACTCCATACATGAATTTTTAACTATAGCAAGAAAACAGCCATGACTTCCTTATTATGAGTTTATTTTTCAAAGTATAAATAAATAAAGTATAAACAAATAAAAATAAATTCAAATTATAAACAATGTCTGATCCCTGAATGAAAATATTGTTGGAAAACAATTGGTTTATTTAAAAACAGGGTTTGTGCAGAAACTGCATGTAATTCTAAAATTTTAAATTCTGCCATACATACTTTGTTTGGGGGAAGTATTCTATCCTAAACTTGCCAATGTGCAGAGCAAAAATAGTTTTTTAAGAATGAAGAAGCATATGATATATATATATATATATATATATATATATATATATATATATATATATATATATATATATNGAGAAGGTCCATCCTGTGCGATCTTATTGGTCTAAGGGAGGTATGTGGCAGAAGACGGTCTCGCAGGTATCCGGGTCCAGTCCAGTATAATGATCATTTGAGCACAAGCTTATTTTATGGCTGGATCCCTCCTTCTTACAGTACCCCAGGTATAGTTTAATCTCTTACTTGAAGGATTAGGGTTTTTTTTTAGGTTAATATTAAAATGCAGGTAGTCTTTGACTTACAACACTGAATTTAGTGAGTCCAAAATTACAATGGCATGAAAAGAGTGACTTATGACCCCTTTTCACACCGTTGCAGCATCCTCATAGTCATGTTCTCAAAATTCATATGCTTTGCAATTGACTTATATTTAGGACTGTTGCAATGTCCGGCAAGTCCTGTGATTCGCTTTTGCAATCTTCTGACCACCAAAGTCAACGGAGAAGCGAGATTCACTTAACAACCATTTTACTAAATTAACAATTGTAGTGATTCACTTAACAGCAGGGGTGAAATTCAGCAGGTTCTGGAGAACTGGTAGTGGAAATTTTGAGTAGTTTGGAGAAACAGCAAATACCACCTCTGGCTGGCCCCAGAATGGGGTGGGAATGGAGATTTTGCAATATCCTTCCCCCAGAAGTGGAACTGGAGCCCTCTCTTCCCAAATTATTTGGGGGAATTGATCCGCTGGATATTGGGTAACAGACCACTGTTTTCTCATTCTAAGGAAGCTGGGAGAAGAATAAGCTGAAAGACACATTTCAGGAAGTTGGGAAACCACAATTTTAACCCATCACACAGTTGATGACTGGAGGCCTCACATGAGTCACCCACAAACCCATTTATGTAAGAATTGTGCAAAAAAAGGGGGAAAGATTGTTCCTAAAGTAGAAAAGTGCTATGCTGTTAAATAAACCACACAAACAGTGAGCCCATCTATTTTGTAACTTTTGAGTTTTATAATTAGACTCGGGTTTTTTTTCATAGGAAAAAACAATCTTAAGTAAGTGTTATATGTGTCATAAGACTAAGTACATTATTACTTCCTTGATAATAGTCTCTGAAGCAACAGATAATTTGGCAAGTCAGCTTTTGATGCCAGTATCAACGTCTCGAATTTAGTCATAAGGCTAAATCCCATAATAACACGATGCAAGTGATAAAATACGTTCTGAAGACTGTGCTTACTGAACGACTATTGATCTGCTCTCTGTTACTTATGAAGTTATATACTTCAGTGTAATTTAAAGGTAATCGAACTTCCTCAAGCTAAATTTCGAGCATCTTTCTATGTAACAGAAAAACTGGGAGGCAAAAGCTGAGATGATCTTCGACAAGACAGTTGAAGATCATCTTTCAGGGATTCTGATGTGTTGTCTGCAAGACGAAACTAGGACCTCTTTTTGGAAGTAAACATGTTAGGTCATAGCGAATGCTGGCTGGGGAATTCTGGGAGTTGAAGTCCAGACACCTTCAAGTTGACAAGGTTGAGAAACACTATGTTAGGTAGACATAATATAGGAGCCCAGGAATGGTGTTTTTCCACTTTGCAGAATAGTCCTCTATTGAGGATTAGGCTGAACCATATGGTTTTGGCAATATGTAAAAGTGCGGTGACAATTGCTTAATAGCAATAGCACTTAGACTTACACACACTTCACAATGCTTTCCAGCCCTCTAAGCGGTTTACAGAGTCAGCCTATTGCCCCCAACAATCTTGGGTCCTCATTTTATCGGCCTCGGAAGAATGGAAGGCCGATTCAACCTTGAGCTGGTCAGGATTGAACTGCTGGCAGTTGGCAGAGTTAGCCTGCATTCTAACCACCACGGCTCTTAAGGTTTGCAGTTGCTCGTGTCTTAAGTAGCTCTTATGAGCCGAGGTGGCGCGGTGGTTAAATGCAGCACTGCAGGCTACTTCAGCTGACTGCTAGATGAGCCGGTGAGATTTGAACCGCCAAACTGCAGATAGCAGTCAGCTGAAGTAGCCTGCAGTACTGCACCCTAACCACTGCGCCACTGCTCTTGCTCTTAGCTCATCTAGGTGGAAGAGACTCAGGGTTGACTCAGCCTTCCATCCTTCCGAGGTGGGTAAAATGAGGACCCGGA